GGGATGGGGTGCCCACTGCGGGCGGCGCTGGAGAGGCCCCCCGGGCTCCTCGCTTGGCCTCCGGCTGCTGCCCCGACACCCAGTTCCCATGTCAGGGGCTGTGTTAGTTGTGCAGAACTGAAGGCCCCCTCCCTCCCTGCCGTGTCTCTGAGCCCCTGGTCCCTGTGGCTCCCCCAGAGCCATTCCCCGCCCCCCTTCCCGCCTCTAGCCCCTCACAGCTGTGTTTCATTGTAGGGCCCTTCACCCGTGAGCCCTAATGCCCTGGACCGCACGGCCGCTTGGCTCTTGACCATGAACGCACAGTTGTTAGAAGACGAGGGCCTGGGCCCAGACCCCCCCCACAGGGATAGGCTAAGGAGTAAGGAGGAGCCCAGCCAAGCGGAAAAGGTAAAGCTGCACTCTGGCAGTTGGGGCAGGGCGGGGCTGCCTCCTGGGCCAGCCGGCGGGCGCTCTCCCGTGGCCCTGAATGAAGGGTGCTCCTTGTTCCTGCCATGAACGGCCCGTCCCCCTCTGCCCTGGCCCCAGGTGAAGGCAGCAGGGAGCTGGAGCGAGAGCAGCCCGAGACATTGGCCTAGGCCTCCTAGGTTCCTGACTGGCCTCTGCGGGCCTGGTCTGGGGGTCATCTGGACCCAGAGGGCTGGGATCTGTCATCAGACCGGGGTGCACAGCCCTCTCGCCCAAGTCTCTCAGCAGCTAGGTTTCTGGATCCAGGACTTGGCTGGGGTGCCATTGAGGTGCCGGATACCCTCGGGTGGGGCCTGGCTTCCCAGAACACAGCCTCCGCTGGGTTTCAGCCTGCCCAGCGCCTGGGAGGAAAAGGAGCGTGTCCGGGGCGAGGATGGTCAGGTGTTCCTAAAGTGCTCTGAAATAGCCGGCTCCCCGCTCTCCGCACACACATGGCGTGAGACGTGGGAGCATCTGTCCTCAGCCTCTTCCTGTGTGGCAGCTGCCATGCGTGTGGGGCTGGTCCCTCCCAGAGCTCAGAGCCTGGCGGCACCCCGGTGCCCGCTCACCCCGGGTTCTCCCCGCTGGGCCCTTGGTCGGTGCCCGGAGGTCAGGCTGGCGGCTCCTCTCTCCCCGGCCAGGGTGGGGTCCATGTCCATGCTGCATCCTGCCCTCTGCGTCCATCTGCTTTCACCATGATGACGTGAAGGAAGGGGATGGGGGCCCAGTGCTCTGAACCCCAGAATTTGTCTTGGGAGAAAGGAGGCCTGGCCTGACCCCAGGCTCTGTGGGCCTCAGCCCTGCACCCAAGCTCACACCTGTCAACAGCAAGCGTGGCCTAAAGGGCTTGAAGGGCAGGCTGTGGGTGGCCTTGTCCTCGTGGTGCCTTGGCCAGCTGAGCCAGCCCCTTCTCCCGCCTTCCTGGCGGCGGCCCCGCACGGGAGTGCAGGAGACCTAGTTCTCCTCCTGGAGACGTCCTGCCTCTGGGCTGGGGTCCCAGCACTTCTGGCAGCTGGGCGGGGTGTTTCCACAGTCAGGCTCCCAGGGCCCATTAGCTTGGGGTGGGATGGGGTCGTCTCCCCCATCCCGGGATGTGTGGCCCCCCGCCCTTCGGCCAGCTACTTGCCGAGAAGCGAATTGGCCTCCCCTCGCCCGGACTCAGCGAGGCTCTTCCTGTCCCCCTGCGCCCGGTCTTCTCGGGCACCCCTGTGGTCCCGGCCCTGCCTCGCCCTCCGTCAGCCCACGCGGCTTTCCAGCTTGCTGCTGCTCTCGCTGCTTCTCTCATCCCCTCCCCAGAGCCGGAGGTGCTGCCAGGCCAGAGCCGGAAAGCCGGCACCCCTCCCCCTTAACCTCTCTCCCCAGCCCCCCACGCCGCTGGCGGCTAGGGTCTTGCCCTGCGGGCGGTCAGCCAGTCTGGCTGCACCTCTGTGTCCTGTAGGCTGCCCCTCCCTTCGGGTCCTGCCACCTCAGGTGTCACGAGGTCTATTTTGAACCTTTCCTTTGTATATGAGGAGCTCCGGCCCTGTGAAACCCTCACTGCTGAGATCCGGGTTGGCGTCTTCCCCCCGCTCCTGCCACTGGGCCACCCTGGGGGTGGGAGCCGGACTGGAGAGCGCCCCGCACGGCGCCCGGGGGCCCGCGGAGTGGGCGGCTGACGGCCCGCCTGGCTCATGCGGCTGCTCTCTGTCCCGGCTGCTGTGCCGCGCCGGCTCCCGGCAGGACCTGGCGGTGCTGCAGGACAAGCTGCGCATGTCCACCAAGAAGCTGGAGGAGTACGAGACGCTGTTCAAGTGCCAGGAGGAGACGACGCAGAAGCTGGTGCTGGAGTACCAGGCGCGGCTGGAGGAGGGCGAGGAGCGGCTGCGGCGGCAGCAGGAGGACAAGGACATCCAGATGAAGGGCATCATCAGCAGGTGGGCGCCTGGCCTGGCCGCGCAGCCGGTCCGGCCGGAGTGGTGGGAGGGCGGGACAGCCGCGCCGGCCTGGGGACCCTGGGGCGGCGGGGTACAAGCGGCGTGGGCCTGGAAGCGTGAGGTCGGCAGGCCACGGCGGGCCGCGGGCCCCTGGGGAGTCTGGTTCTCTTAAATCTCAGAGAGCCTGAGGTCGGGGTGCCAGGAAGGACCGCAGGGGCTCGACCCGGGGCGGAGACGGAGTGGACGTCAGTTACCTTCGGGGATGGGGGCAGACAGGGACACGTGTGTTGGGCCCCGGCTGCCGAGGGGCCTCGGGCGTGGGGGAGGGCAGCGATGCCCCTTCGAGGTACGTGGAGTTTCAAGGTGACCTTGGCCTATCTGGGGAGGTTTCTGGGGGGCCTTTGGCTTTCCTGCTGGCTCTCGTCTCTATGGCTTCTGTCAGATTCTGTGTTGATTCCCTCTCCCCACCTGTGGGAGGGGGTCCCCACGGTCCCTGGGGGTGTGCAGTCAAGGGGCCGCCTCCAGGCCAACCAGCCGGTGCCGGGCCTCCTTCCCCGGTAGCGTCGGGCGTGCGGAGAGCTGGCCTCCGCTGGTGGGTTTGCAGGGCAGCCCGCCATCAGACAGGTGCGCAGGCGAGCCGGGCGCCCCCACCCGGCTCACGCCTGGTCCTCGGCAGAGACCAGATGCCGGCTAGGGCCATGTGTCTGTCGGTGCTGCCGCGGGGTCGGGGGGGGGTGCTGGTCTGGCGGCCCCCCGCAGGCTGGCAGTGACCGAGGGGCCTCTCGGGGTGCCGTCTGGGCTGCCCTGCCGCGTGTGTTCCCCTGGCTGCCCCACGGCCCCTCACTCGGTGTGACTCGGCCGGCTCGGGCAGGCGCCTCGGCCTGGTTCTCTGAGTTCCTGGGTCAGGCGTGGGGTCCCCCTCGGGGCTCCCGCCGGCCCTGGCGCGGGGCCCTGGGCTGTGTCGTGCTTGCCCTCCTCCTCTGCTTCTGTTCAGCAGAACAGCCGGTGGTTTCTGTTGCTCCGTCAGTCTGACCCACGTGGTGTCTTTCCTTTTTTATCTCAGACGTGGTGTCTCTCCCCTGAGCCGTCAGTGTGGTCCGAAGTCCGCTCACGGCTCTCCGCGCCTTGCTTGGGCTTTCCTGTGTTGTGTTGAGCGCTGGCGTGCATTTCCAGCGGTTTCTGGGAAGGCCTCGCCTGCTCGCAGTTCTGCCTAGCTCGTCTCCTGCTCACGGGCTGTATTTCCCTCTCTCCGAGTGCTGGGTGCCGGGCATTGTGGATTTTGCGTGGGTGGGGTGCCTCGTGCTCCTCCCAGTACACCTGGGCTTTGTGTGGGACCCGAGGAGGCCGCGTGGACAGAGTGGTTCTTCGAGGCTGACTCTCGGCTGCTGGGCGGGCCCTGGAGGCGTTCCTTCGGGGTGCAGTCAGTGTCGCTGGGCCAGGGCTGTCTGGAGGCTGGTTCCAAGGGTCCTTGCCCGGCCTGGCTGCCCCACACCCGCGCGGGCCAGAGATGCAGGGTGCCGCCCCTCGCTCCCTTCTCGTGCTGCCCGCAGACCCCCGCCGCCCCGCCATGCTGTGACGTTGCCCCTCCTGCTCCCCCTTGGCCTCGACCTTCTCCAGGCAGCGAGTGGGGCTTGTGTGCATTTGGGGGGCAGGAGGGTAGATCCAGTCCCTGTTACCTGCCATAGCTGGAAGCAGGTCTGACCTTCCGGTCAGCTCTCCCCTGACCGATGCTACCTCAAGCCCTCGGCCCCCTGCCCGGTGCTGACTGCTCAGCGTCGCGGCTTCCTGCAGCAGGGCGTCCCGTGGGCCCAGCCGCCTTCCCCGGTCGGCCTCCCCCGCCCGCCTGCCCCTTGCCCCGCACGCGGCCCTGGCTCACTGCCTGCGCAGCGCCCCGCCTGCCAGGCCGTCCAGGGCTGGGGGAGCTGGGCAGAGCTGCAGGGCCTCGGGCCCAGGGCACGGGGCCCGGAGGCTGCGGGCAGGCAAACCCAGAGGAGAGTGGGCACCGAAGGAAACCAGTCGGCGGGGCAGGGGAGGCAGCGAGGCGAGGCCCAGACTCCGGGGAGGGCAGCAGTGG